TGTTTGTATGTACGTGTGTGCATTCTCTATTTTTTTATTCAAGAGACTTATTACGGTGCAACATGTACGATCGTAAAAATGATCCAATTACATATGATGAGAAACGAAGGAAAATGTCAATGATACTTCTTGAACATATTCTTTACCCTCAATCTCTCTTTTTCTCCTTTTTTTTATGATAATTTATATAATATAAAATATGTATGTGCATGTAATATAAATTATTTATGATCATAGTTGCAATTATATTAATTGGATGCGCGTTGCATGTGCATAAAACTCACTGCTTTGTCATTGTTATATTTCTTTTCGACACTCGTAATTTCTCTCCGACGAGACTGAAGAAATCCAGGGATGTTCGCGTGATAAAAATTGGCTCTCGTATGTATATTCGGTACACATACGTGTAATCCGGAGAGCGGTCGTGCGTATTCTTCGACACGGTCACGCGCACGTTTATTTGCCTCGTGTATGTACGTGTGCCTCGCGAGGGATGTAAATGAGCTACGGACGAAGACAGACTAGTATTTCTCGTTTTTTTTCACCGCACGGATCCGAGTGTACGCGCGTCGAATAACGCCAGAATCATCTCGCTGACAACTCGAAATTGCACACAGACTATAATCCCTCTACGTAGACTTTTCAATTTAATTTCACTCCAAGGGAAAAAACAAGGGCGAGAAAGATAGAAAAAAGAAAGAAATAGAGAGAAGAGACGGGAGAGAAAGAGAGAGAATAAAATAAACATGTCTCTGATATCGATAATTTTGCAGAAATAACAAGATTTCCAGAGATTTTCTATTAACGTCATTTCTATTCTGTATATTAAAAAAGCAACGACTCTTCTGTGTATTCATATACATATATCTTAATCTTTTTTAAGTATAAATGAAAGTATCACACACGCTATGAAAACTCAATTACGTGTTTTGATTGTTATTGCGATAATAAATTAATTACCGTAATGAAACAAAGAATGAGTATTGCGTGTAGATTTTGACATGCGTACATGTGCAGGGCACAAAGCGGAGAACTTTTTACAGCTTTTATTTTGTAAATTCCATTACATGGAATTCCATTATCCAGTTGTGCTAACGACTCTAAAATTTGATTTGACCTTTTTGTGTGATTTCGGCGATGTTGTAAACTAGATTTCGCTGCGTAATATAAAACGACGAAAAACAATTTTATGTTTACTGCTGCCAGAGAAGCCAGCATACGTGTTGAATATGTTACGAGATGTTGCGGGATGTATCCACAATATCGATATTGCTAACAATACTATAGAGCATGTATACATACACAAATAAAAATTGCCCTTTTGGCCGAGTAGATAATTAATGTAAAAATTGGTATCGTCAAAAAGCGCGCGTTAAACTTGCGAATTGAGAATCAATTTGGTTCTGACAATGAATATAGATCATCATTAAAATCTCGGTAAGCGAGATTTAAATTTGGCTTAACGAGCACTCTGACGTCTTTATCCTTTTATAGCTGTTCAGGAGAGAGATAATTTTTGTAAAACTTATTGACATTCGTTATATCTTATTATTAAATGCAGTTTTCGTTTCTTGCAATCGCATGCAGTTTTGAATCACAGCTTGATTTCTGCACCTTAATAACGATACATTGTCATCTTAAGAAACGTACCGTGAATGATGTAAATTTTTAGTCAAGCGAAAGCGTCGAGAAAAACTTGCGTTCAGTCGTCGTTATTAATTAATGGAGATGTTTATGCGGCATTTACAATGCGAGCGACGTAATTTTCGGGGGTACACGCTCCAAGGGATTCTGGATGACGAAGATGATGAAGAAGAGTGTCCTGAAAACTGGTTCTCGTTTCTTCGCGACGAGAAATATAGATAACGTAATCTTATTTGAATGACAATGTTTCGCAACAAATTCGCGAGGAAAGAAGGGAGAGCGTGATATATTTTTGCCGTTCTATGCAAGTTGAGGAGATGCATCTTCGCGAGAAAAAAAGGTCAAAGAGTTTGATGTAAAAATGCTTGGATAGACATTGGATAAACGTCACTTCGTATCGTACTATGGTTTTTTTTCTCGTGATTGTTCAAGCATTATTCTTTTGTTATCAGGATACTTAGTAGGTACTTAGTGCTTTTTATCTGCATTAGAGTCACGGTGAATCCGCGTAGACAGATGCACAGGAATGCTGAATCTTGGATCGAGAATTCAGAGATCCCGCGCGGAATACGAGTATCGGCGATATCGATTCATAGATAAAATAATTAGATTTCCCACAGTTCAACGTATAATAATATTTTTGTCTTTTATATAAAAAAATTAAATTAAATTTGCATTAGTCACTATTGCTTACACATTAATAACGAGCATTAATCATATATGAGTAAAAGACAATGCTCAGTGTTTTTTACATTATAATTGAGTAAAGAGTGTAATAAGTTTATAATATACAAGGCTTGCTTTTAATATATCATATTGAAAGTAGTTTTTAATTTAGTTTGGAAATTATGCATTTTATTTTCCGATAAAAAATATCTCTTTTAAAATACATGTTTATTATATGGTAGCAATTTTTACAAAATTAGTACTAAATCAATCTGTGTGTATATATATGTGTATGTATGTGTGTTTGTGTGGGGCTGGCCACATTTTCCTTATATGTAGTACCCGAAGAGTTTATTTTAAAATAAATTTTATTTGAAGTTTTTTATCTGAGCGTAATTATCAAACACAGAAGCTGCAAAAGCTTGATACTGAAATAGAACTATTGAAAAGTTTTAATGAAAAATTCTCGTATTAGAGAAAATAAAGTCTAGGAAATATTCGGACTGCAGAAATCAGAATTGTGTATCAATTTTGAAAGAAAATATAAGAGAAATTTCGAAATGTACGAATGCAAGTGAAGTACGCTAAAGTATTCGTTTGCAAAACCAACCATGATATGCATCATAGCGCAATGTTCTCATGACTTACATTATCTTCTTACGGCACATTAGCGTTCGTCACGTCGAAGACACGCTATCGCGGAAAGCCTCTAGTAGCAATACTGCCGGTACGGTAACTGTTGCCGCGCGGTGGAATCGTTGTAACGTCGAGATTGACTAAAAGATGAAACACATATTGCTGAAAAGTGCATGCTGCGCAGTATCGACGATAAGATATAATGCTCGTGAGTCGATAGTCGTTAGACGCTCACACCACGATCGTCACCCTATTATTTACGCGAAGGTGACAACAGCTTAAGCTACTGGTGACGCAAAAATGCGTATTCCGGCACAGCACTTTTGGACCTCGAAGGCGCGTTCAGCCTTCCGAGCTTAATCGTACATATTTGCATTTCGTTGGACGACAACAGCGTGCTACGTCGCGCGAAGCAAAAATTCGCGAGTGTATATAAAAAAGAGACCATAAATCGTTAATGGGATTTATTACTTTGTGACGCTCGAATATATCTCGTCAGACCGTCCGCGCTTGACCCTTGTTTTCTTTATTTTACGGAAATATTTTGTTGCAGCGCAGGTTTAACCGTGCATGCAGCTTGTTACAATTTGCGTCGTTTGCTTCTCCGCTCGATGATAAATCCCGTGCTATTTTCCGCACGTGTTTTGCGACATGTAACCAGCGTGATCCGCGTCAGGGCACAATCGTACCTCTTCTTTTGAAGAGCTAAAAGCTCATCATCTGCATAATCGTGTTACATCAATCAGGCTATACCGCGTTTGTCTCTCTCTCTCGCGACACCAAATTCACAGGCTGTGACTCTTGTTTTGTATGCCGGATAACATGCGTTGCAATTTGCGCGGACAGCGAACAAGAAAATATGCATTGTGTGACGCGCGAGCTTAACGAACTGTCTCTAAAAAGACCGAACTTTTTATTCAAAGTGCAATTAAATCTTAAATCTACACTCGCGCGGAACTTTCTTGCGCGACTTAGCATGCTGTCACCGCAAAGTTTTGATTTTGCTGCTTGAGATACTTCGGGACACTAAAGCGCAGAAACACATTTGCAATAGTTATACTCATCATTATTTTCTCGCAACCTTAGACGGATCTAAAACAAAAATAGTCTTTTTTAGAAAATTATTTTATTATAGGATTTTGCAATAATTTCTCTCTTTATTTAGTATTTTTTAAGTAAACGAAATGTATTGAACATTGTAGAATATGTAAAAATATATGTGGATGTAATGTTGTATATGAAATTTGGATGAAACTGGAAAAGAGTAAATATTATATGGGTTATTCGTAAATGCGATGCCCTGAAAAGTAGCTTAAGCGATTTATGATTGACATGAATGCACGGTGTGTAATTTAGAACAGCTGGAAACACTAAACGCGCTCTCGAAGTTTTAGTGGTTCCTCAAATTCAGAACTTCGTTTTCTGTGCCGACTTAGCCTTTCGTAACGCGTGATCGCTATTGTCTCTATAGAATTCCCCATTTAATGGACTGTTGTAAATATTCGATCTTTTCAATTGGGAAACTGATACCTTACAATATCTAAGCCCTACGTCAAAAGTCGCTCACGGGCTAGAGCCGAGTTTCCTCAGATTATTCTCGGCTCTATTCGTGTTAATCGCGAAGAATTAGCTTGCGCCTGGCGTTAATTTCTATGTACAGTAAAACGTTTCTCTCATAAATAGCACTATTAATTGTATTCGTTTAATTTTTTCTTTTTTTTTTAATCTGTGTTGCAACATTACTCTCATTCTCTATATATAACAGACAATCAACGCTATTAGACAATAGGATTTTTCCATCGATAATAGTGAGTACTAACAATGATGATAGTAATCGTAATATGATGATAATAGTTTCAATGATATAATATCGACATAATAGTAATTTAGTCTTCAATATATATATCTATATGTATATACACATATGTATATGTATATACATATGTATATATATATGCGCTCGTAATTTATAATATATATATATATAGATTCTTCCGATTAATAATACAAGTTTTATAATATTTTTCTATATAGTCAATCGTTCGTACGTATGCGTGTGTGTATATATACATATTATATATAATGTACGCTTTACAATAATTTATAGTAATCGATATAGCGTAAATCTCTAAAACATTCTCTTATTATTTTCATCTTATTTTTAACTCTCTCTTACACACTCATTCTCACCCACATTTTCTCTCTTTCCTATCTCACTTTCTCACTCTCGCCCGCGCCAGTCTTACGTGGCGTCGTTTTCAATCCCGTCGCACACTTTGAAAGCGTTTTAGTGATATCACAGTGATTTCATTGCTCCAATATTATCGATAGAATAAAAGTCCGCCGGTGGCGCGAGAATTCGTCGTAATGCATCCGCATGGTGATCGCGATCGTTCGTTTCGGATCCGAGTCGTCCGGTGCATAAATCTGGCGAGGCGATGATGGGAACATAAATCTCGGTCGACACAAACGATCTCTTCGTAAGAAGCACGAGCAACATTTAAAAAGGTACGGTGAAATACGACCCGAAATTATTCGCAATGCGCAAGCAGCTAAGAATGGCAGATTTATGTTAACTCTATATGCCGAATTGACGCAATATCCGGTTTATCTCCAGTTAATTAAACACAACACAGTTGAATGAGTTAAATAATTGTTTTGTATTTATTTCAATGATATGATATTAATTGTAATTTATTAATTAATAATAATTGCAGATTTAACTGTGAAATATAGATAGGAACATTATTTCTGCTATAGTTTTCATCATTAATAATAATGAGTTTTATATGATGGAAACAAAGCGTAAATTACGTCAAAACAAACATATAAATGCAATGCTATTTTTCATCGAAAGAATAATTTATAGTAAACCGATATAGGCCTCCTCTCGTACAATCTATGTATTTACTCAGCTAATTATTGTGTAATTTAACATGTTAGAAAATAATGGAATACTAGGCTTAATCTACGAACGATACGAGCGTTTGTCCTTTTTTTCTAAGACATTTTTCGTGATTCTGCGCATCGACTTATCGTACGTATAACTGCGTATAACGAAACGAGTTTCCTCCACACTCGAATAATCCGGAACATCGTCTTTCACCCGTACTTGATTCGCATAACTATAAAAATTCTTTCATGAGATCGATGCGGTTCGCTTCTCTCCGAAAAATTCGGAGATTCGTGCCAAATAGAGAGGAATTGCACAACGACCGCGCACGCGCGATCCTTGATCGTAAAATAAAATTGAAAATTAAAAAAAAAAACATCGTTTTATCGCGGCCTTAATAAATTTAACGAGGAATTATGACGGCGTTCTTAATCGCGCGTTTTAATTCGGCGCGGCGAAATACTTAATTCGCAGTGGGTGGAATAATTGGGCAAATGAAGTCTGAGAGCTGAGAGTTGTGTTCCCGAGGGAAACGCGAATCGCCACTCTTCTTTCCACCGTCGCGTTTCTTCCGTTCTTTTTGATACTTTTCTACGACGGAGAGTAAACTTTTTCTCGCAAATTACTCGCACAATCGGAACTGGACGGCTCGAAGTCGACGAACTAGCGCTCGCGGACTGTTAGTTATTCTCCCTCTTGAAAAAAAAATCTCGAGAAAATTCTCTGCCTTTTTTCCCCCGGACTTAAGCACCATAAGCAACGACGATCTCGCGCGATGTGAAGATCACCGCCGTCGGCGAATTGGAAATAACAGATAGAGTCAATCGTTGGATCCCTACTTTGATTAGTAATATACCTAATTAATAATTAATATATTTTAATAATGGTAATAACAGTAATATGTAATATACATATGTGTACAATGTATTTCGGTTTTCAAGTGCGTTCGCATTATATCGTATAGCGCTTCGCGAGGGGCGTGTTGTGCACCATATTGGAGTTAGACTTTATGTACATATATATACATATATATATATATATATATATATATATATACATATATACATATATACGTATATATGTATATACGAGTGCAACACCGTAATGATCATAGTAATTCCTATATATAAATTGTTGCGATCGTTACGGCTCTCACACACGCGGATTACGATTCTCTGTAGCTTTAATCTCGAGAGAAATCGTCACTGTACATTATACTGCGCTTAGAGAACATCATTTAAAGTAGATAATTGGGTACTGACACACAGAGATTTTTCCGAAAGACTTGTTTGCAAAAAATTTTCACCACGCCTAAAGCGACTGGTGTGTTACACGTATATAATTGATGACAATTGGTAAACGGTCATAATTCTTACTTGCTACTTAAATTTATTTCAATTTATTTCTTAATTCTTTTACGGTATTTCTTTGCACGGCCATTTACATTTTCTTTTAAATTTATTATTATTCGCTAATGTCTTATACGCCTTACAATGTATTTTATTTATCGATAATTTGTTCAAATCACATGTGCCCACATTCGTATCTCGCTCCCGACACATTCGCTCCATTTAATCCTCCGTCAAATTAATCACCGTATATTTGTAGGATAATATTTGATAAATATATCTCCCGTTCGTTTGAAATTCGCGAGAAGTAGAATATGTTACGTGATATATTTTTAGTTTTTATTCAATTAATCCTTGGATTACATCACTAACTGATCACATTAGCACAGTTTTGTCTTTAAATATCTTTTGTTAAAAGAGGTTATAAATAATATAATAAATATTTTAGTAATAATAGAAAACGAATTTTAAGCATTAAAATCAAACGATCGAAAAAGCTCGGCACATATTAAACGAAAGATATAAATTGAAGTAAGTTTGCAACTTTACTTGGTGCAAAATAAAGCATTAATTCCGATGTAAAATTGCTTTATTTTCGTATACGAGATATTAATGCAAAAAGCTTTTTGTTTCTCACGATTGTAATAAAAACATGAGAAGGAAACATTTTTACAGACGAGAAGACGATAAATAACATTAAATTACACTGGTAAACACGAAAGGTATTTTTATTTCGATGCTAGCAAGACATTGATTGAAAAATTCGATTTGTTCTTTTTTATAGCAAGTATATCGCGAGTATATTGCCATTAACAGAATTAAGAAAAACCACTCAATATTTTTTTCCGATAAAAGAGTTATCGATCAACGAGTGATCAACACGCTCGCGGTCGTGCGACTTCACAAGATCTCCCGTCCCGCATATTTGCCGTATGGCGGTTCGACGCAAATAACTACGGGTCCAACGACCGTCGGCGTTCGTGCAATCGATTGGCATAGTGTGGAAACACGCGTCCCTTTTACTCTCACCTTCCACCGTGAAAAAGGCGAGGCGAGGCGCGCGCCCTTATTGATCCCGGCTATGCTAATAATCCGTTCAACGAATGCCACAGTCTTATCAACGAATTCCATATTGGTTCCCTCATACCCGACCATCCACGCGCGATCACTCTCTCTTGGCTATTCTCACGAATTACCCCTTTCCCATCCTGGTCTTTTTCCACCACTTCAATTACCATTTCATCGTCAGGATCAGGTAGAAAGAGAGAGAGAGAGAGAGAGAGAGAGAGAGAAGAGAGAGAGAAATCGAAATAAAAAAAAAGGAAAAGAGAGCGATAACGCGGGAAATAGTGGAGTATCGATGGAATAGAGCAGGAGATTCGGCAGAATTTATAGACTAGTATTTCAGGATATATCCTCCGAGCTGTACAAGAAAATTATACAACATTATCGTACGTGGAATAAATTGATTGGTCATAATATAAGGTGCTGTGCAATTAAAAATAGACTTAAAACGGAGTAAAATTAGAGAAATTTCGCGAGCCAGATTACCGCGGGAAAGTTAATGCTAATGATAGCATGAGAACGTTTTAGATAAGGATTCCAAGGAAGACTTTGAAAGTTAGACAGGAAACAGGCAAGGGAGCGGATGGAGAGCGAGATGCGAGAGCATATACGCACGCATGCACGCACCCAAACAGGCATACTCTTAAACAACACGAGACCAGACGCGCGAACTGTGTTTATCGATTTATCGTTGTGGTGTATTGCGCGTCACGTACGTGCACGAGCGCATACATTTTCGTTAATGTACACGCTATATCGGGTGCATAGGATATATGGTGTCAAAGCTTACTGTTATTTTTCTTTCCTTCTTTCTCTCTCTCTCTCTCTCTCTTTCTCTCTAGTTTGCCAAGTAAAACACCAGTGAGAGAGCGGTGGAGAAAAGTGGGCTGTCACCGGCACTTTAGAAATTCCGGAAGAGGGAAATTCCAAAATCTCTCTCTCTCGTGTCGTGACCTCTCTCGCACGGTACGTGGATCTCCGGGCTTGATGGGATGAAATGCGGAATATTGTTTCCCGGTTATTACCGCGGAATGACGAGCACAGGTGCGTGGGACGTTGTTCTCTCTCTCTCTTTCTCTCTCTCTCCATTTCGCGACATTTCCGTATTTCCTCGCATGATCACTTTTGCGAGCGGCAAACTCACTCGTTACGTTTAGATGTAGGAGAGCATCTGTTTGCTGGTACAGGGATGGGATTTCCGTCTCACGGAATGTTTCTGTCTTTAGGAGCGTGCACTAATTGGCGGGATCTATTATACTTTGTACCCTTCGTGAAAATTAACCGCTTACTCTCGATCATCTTCTATTGTTTGACGTACCACTTTTCCGTCACCAGCCCACAAGTTTGATATAAAATATATATATGTATACTATTCACCGTATAATCGAACAAACATAACCGAAGCTATGATTAAACGCCGGTTAAAATCTTCGGTTATGATAGAAAATAAATTTGAGTTGGAAGGGAGATATATGTATATATGTACGGACATACAGTTTCTTTTTTTTATTTCTATCTAGATTTGCATTCAATTTTGGACCCTTCGACGCAAAGCGATCATTCATCGCACATCGATAGCGTATGTATACGTGTTTGCATACATATGCAAACGCACACTCTCTACGATATGCACATACATATCGAACGATGTATGGTCGAAGATACAATTCGCGACTGATCGTTTCGCGCCGATTTATTCCCTCGCGATATCTCGTCCGAGCGAGAACGAACGAGCGTTTTCGACAAACGAAAAATTAATTATTGCTGTGTACTTAGGCTGCGCGATAAAAGAGACTCTATAGAATATAGAAAATAAAAAGAAGCTTCTGTATCTCTTGTACTCTTTTTTGTCGCACGAAAGGAACGAATTACACAAATGCGCGCGCGCACACATACATACGTACAACATATATACACGGACACACAAATTCCATATACCCTGCACGTACGTGACAGAATTATTAAATCCTACACATGTGTAATCCTCCAGTTAAAATTAACATCGAAGACTCACGATTGGAACGCCGGATGTTTAAAGAGGCCCTTCTTAAGCGGACCTACGACGCGCGAATATCTAATTATATATAATATAGGAAACGTGTCTTATATATATATATATATATCTTCTCGCATCCTCGTTTTATTTGTCAGTAGATTCTGCCGACGATTTTTCAACGCTGGCTGGTGTTCACGCGGCTGATCGTTGTTCGCACAGGATCTCTTATGCTCCTTCGATCGTCGTCTTCCGCCGCCGCCGCCATCGCGTATACTGAATGCTGTTCTAAATTGCATCTCACGCGATTCTGTATCCGCCACTGCGGGTGTGCATTAACGCACAAACGGAATTTGCAATCCCTCCTATAGCGGCGAGCCCGTGTATATCTACGCAAGCGCGTTGCATACGCAACTTTGGATTGTCATGCCTTTCGTGAACGTGACCAAGAGATTAGGCACGGAAATAGTGTCCTCCATCCGGGACAGAGCCGGGGATATATACATTATATAGTGTTGCGCTTATCATCTCTTATCTCTCTCTTTCTCTCTCTCTTTCTTGCTCTATTCTCTATTCTTTTGTGGAAGAAGAATGGTCGGTAAAAAAATATGCACAGATGGAGGAAGGAGCGATATGCTGCCTCTTGGTCTACGAAGCGACTCGCTTTGCAAGGTATTATATCATAAACCCGAGAGGGTACGCCGCGCATGGCGGACTGTGTTCCCTTGGCCAGCCATCTTGGAAGCGTACTTATCGAAAGTTCGTTGATCTGTCGCCATGCACCGTGTTACAAGATCCATGCGAGCTGTGTAAAGATAGCCTGATCGATCTTGATCTCGTTTTACGGCGTTCGATGTGCGTAATTTCACGAAGTCCAGTTGAACGAGACATTCTCTCTAAACGCATCTCGTCTCGAGATGGAGATTTCTATCGTAGTTTTGTCGCTAAGCAACGTAGAAGAAAAATTTCCTTTGCGTAGCTCGACAGCTTCTTAAAATTTCTTGCTTGGCCAGCCATCTTACTTCGAGTAAATGTTTTTTTCTCCGAGTAAAATTGCACATTCGACGGACGCAAGAAGAATCCGTCTTCTCGGAGGGTGACAAAAGTCCCGAAGGGATATACATAAGCAGTACGCCTTGTCAAAGGCATTTTTCACAATGTTCACTTCGTGTTTCGAAAAAAAGGATCGGTTGTGTGGAAAAGTTGGTTCTCGATCTGAAACATCTCTGTCGTGAGACTCTCTCGCGCATTTCCGACTCTATATTTCGCAGGCATTCTTTCATTGTAGATTCCACTTGCCGCCTTGCGATCAATGTTTCTCTCGGGGATAATTCGAGAGACTAGAAACATCGCGCGATGCGATCGAGAAGAACATCCTCTGGAGGTACGATCTGTATCGGCGTACCCGAGGCGTGGATAATATGTAGGTATCGCTAGCGTCCCTCTTGGTCGACGCTATACTGTATCGCTCATTTGAACAGTATTCGGCGGAAGGCGCGGCGGAAGTCCTTGTTGAAAACGGTATAGATGAAAGGATTCAGCGCCGAGTTCATGTAGCCGAGCCAGAAAGCGATCACGAAGGCTTGCGTGGGTATCTCAAACTTGGGGAAGAGGGGCTTGACGATGTAAAGAACAAAGAAGGGCAGCCAGCAAGCGATGAAGCTGCCCATTATGAAGCCCAGGATCAGGGTGGCGCGTTTCTCCTTCTTTCTCGCCAGTCTCCTCTTCTCTCTCTCCGGGTCGCGCGGCTTCGCCGTCTTGGCGTCGCCGCCGCCTGACTCGTCCTTGCCGGCGTGTCGCGCCGCGTCGCCGTGCTCCTTCTTCAACTTACCTATGTGCTTGCGACCAAAGATCGGCTGGCACAGACGCAACTTCAGCGGCTTCACCACCGCGCATCTCGACACGACGCCGCTGTCCGACGATGAGGGATCGAACTCGGACACCATGTCGACGTCGATGCCGACGCTGGGCGCTCGGCATCGCGCCGGCACACTCTGGCCGCCCGATTGTCCGTCCCCGTTCACCGACAAGGTCGTCTTCAGGCTGCTCTTTTGCGCCGGTACCGGCACGCTCACCTGTCGGCAAAATTCGTACGCGTATCTTAATAAGTGCAACGAGACGATTTTTATCATAACATATATATACATATACTTCTATATTTATCTGAGGAATTACACTCTTCTAAATGGGAGATACACATTTTTCAAACAAGTTAAAAAATAAAATTTTATGCATATTTTTTACTGGTAAAAAGATTACTTATTCATATTTTTTTAATCCTTCCGTATTGGTAACCATTTTTATTATATGAGGATAAAACTAGCAATCCCTATTCAATTTTTTATCAGAACTTTTTAACGGATCAAAATGCGATCTGAATCTACAAATATGAGAGTTAGAAAATTGATTCTTTTTTTATTACTTTTCTTTTTTTTTCGTAAAATCAATTATTTTTCAAGAAAAAAAAATTTTAAATGTATCTCTTTTAGAGGAGACCACCTCTCTTCTTTTTCTTCTTCTAATCGTAAATTATGGAATTTTTAATTTGTTTTATCGTAGGCACATTGATTAGGTTGGGCAAAAATTATTTCTGCTTTGAGCTAAACTCGTTTAAAATTCCTGCCAAATTTTAAATTTGGATAGACATTTGTAAAAATAACCGCGATATACACGTTTTATGCACGTGCACGATGTAACGATCGCTATATCAGCACTAGTGCTGTGCAAGCAGGTTTTTTGTGACTTTTTAGATACAGTATATTATTATAAATTTAGTTGTTGGTTTCGAGATAAGGTTTTAAATATGCGCGTAGTAAATTTGCGGGACATGTTAAAAACACTGAAATTTTCTATGAGAGAAGCCTTTAATCATTATACTTTTAAAATTTTTATATAAAATTACAGAATAAATTAATCCGAGTAATAGAAGTATATAGAAGAGGTTATTTAAAAAAAATTAACAATGCATTATACTTATCGAGTTAAGAAGTCAAAGGAAAGAAGCACATACACGTAATGTAACTTATTCATATACTATATGCATTAAAGTTAATAGTTATTAGTTAGTCTACTTAAGTTAATAATTAGTCTACTTATTTTTATGCGCAGATTTCTTCAAATCTCAGAAACTCAACTCTTATTGTTAGATTGAATTATATACCAAGTTAGACGTGTCTATGCTGCTTTTAACTGCGATATATGATTTTCGTACGAACATAGAATTGTCGCGAGACTCTTTGACGTGCAATTGTTATGTAGAATCCAAGGTAACAAAAGCGGGTATGTTCTTGGCGCTTAAGTTTGAACAAGACCTCGTACCGTGTAATTGCACGACAGTCAGAATGGGAAACTCATCCTCGCGCAATTATCTCTCTCTCCTGGTGTAAAACTACTGTATTTTCGTACGTAATAAATGCGACCTTGCTTGCGAAAATACGAATTTTCCTCATTGTCAGTCTCGCAATGTGATTTAATGCTCAAGCAATTTATTCACTGACATAATTCATCGACATAAGAATATGCCTGACGCAATCGAGTATTGAAAGCTTTTGCTATTGAGTGAGGGAAAACGTTTCGCATATTCTGTAAATACTGGATATCCATTTGCAAATTATCTAGTATTAATATTAATCATTAATAGAACACATGACAAACGTGTTAGCACATTAACAGCGTCGATATGTATTATAATTATAGACCTGTTGTCGTCCGAGCGCATATATCGGGAATATTGACTGACGCATCTCGATAGAGAGTATCGCTTCGTCGAAGAGACAGAACCCGCGCATCAATCTTATGATATTTGACATAAAGCAATGATTGTTGTCGGCAGAATGTCCTTTCTCGGTACGGACTTTAATTTATCAAGATATCGATACATATATATATATATATATATATATATATATATATATATATATATATATATATATAAATAACAGTTTACGAGAAGCGATGAAAGACAGTAATCTAGCATGATATGGCGAAAGAAGCTTATGTATGATCGATTGATCGCATATCCTGATCCGCGATACTGATAACCGTATTGTATTGTGCTCCCTTTCGTCTCTTTCGATTTCACGGACTGTATTCCAATACGAAATGTTTGATTCCGAAGATTTACTACTTCTACTTTAACGTCCCTTACGAGATATCGACAATATGAGATATACTTCGATAGAGTAATGGTGAATGATATTGGTACAGAGGAAATAATAGCCAAAGAATATAAACCAGAGATAATCTGAAATTTTCGGTTACAGTGCTTTCAGTGTACAATTTTTTATTGTGTGTTAATTCTAAAAAGATTAATGTGTTTAATAGGCATCAAATTTAAGACAATAACAATAATAAATAATTAAAAAAATGATTAGTAATCAATTGCAGTCAATTGCAAATCGTAGTAATTAAAAAGCAAAAACTTCATCATGTAAAAAAGTATAGTGATTTAAGTAATTTAAACGAGTTATCTCAATTTATAAATTATAAAAGTGAGCACACTAGAGATTTGAACTATGAAAGCAAAACGATAAAAGTGTTGCAACAATGTGATTTGAAGAAAAGTAATGTTTTATTTTAAATGTATACGTCTATAATATTTTCTGAACTATATAGTAACTATATAACTTTCCCGATACTTCTACGTCAAGCTTCAAATTTCGATCTTGGCAGAAAGTGCTCTTCAACACAGTTAGAAATCTTACCTTCAGCGTGTCCTTCTCTTCCATCGGTATACTGATGCCTCCACCGGGATCAGCCTCCGACGTGCTGACGTCACTTGCGAAGTCGCACGTGACAATCGGTATCTGGACCGGTTGGTTCTCGATTGTCGCGACATTCTCCATGACTGATCCCGGTGTTTTCTTGGCGTCGGTCGCCGGCGTGCTCTGAGTAAAGCTCGTCTGTCTGACGTCGGGCGATTCCGGCGGAACTGCCGCTCGTGGACGTGGCTGCTTCCGGATGCCGCGACGCGCGCGAGCCTTGGCAGCGAAGTATATACGTATGTAGACGAAGACCATGATACAAGATGGGATGTAGAAGCTGCCCAGGGCAGAATAAAGGACATACCCGATGTCCTCTGACAGCTGAAACAGAGATAAGCGCGTTCCTATAAGCTTTTTAATGTCACACTTTACACATCGATATTAATACAACTTAAGTTACTGAATAATAATTTTATATTAATTTTAATGTTTATATTATAATTGTTTTTTCCGTATATATCAGAAAATAATTTTCTCTCGAATATGGTATTCTTCAGTACTTCGTAAAAAAAAGTGCATTTGTAGCTTTGCGCGAACGGATCGGGCAATAACTCCTTTTAAATCTCTTACTCTACAAAGTTACGTTTAAGATTAACGCATTCCATTTACCACTTTACGATGTATCGTCACCGATCGGCATTTAACGAATTGCTGGTTATGTAGGTCAATTGATTTTCTGTTGTCATCTGCACGATATGCTCGATATCTATAAGTGGATAGTGCAGAGAGAGAAAGAGAGAGAGAGAGAGAGAGAGAGAGAGAGAGAGAGAGTAGTTCTTCTGGAATAAACTCTGGAAGGCACTCTAACTTTGGCACTCTATTTCTGGGAAGATCTGATTTCTCTCGATGTCGAGAGGATGCACAACATTTTTATAGTGGCTTTCAGAAGGTGCGATACCGGGGCTAACTGGGTTTACGCCGTCCTGTGTACGTGCAACAGACCGTGTTGCAGTCTCACTTTAAGAGCCGCATACACGCTCTCGTCGGGCGTAAATATGAGTGCCTGAATTAAATTTTACTTAATTCGCGCGATGCAACGTGCGGTCGCGCATATAACCCCTCCGGCCTTAAACTGTATTCAAATTTACGCCGTCGCGTAATTCGCGTGCGAATCGTTTTATCCTCGCGCGAACGCACACATTTTCAGCTCGTGTCGTAGACTTTACTTCCGTTAATGTAACTACTTTATTAGTTCGTTCCCTTCTATCTCTTAAGAAATAAACTTGCCAGCGAGCTACTTGGCGTAATATCTCATTACGTCGAATTACCAGACGATTTAATGCAAAGTAATACGGTGATGTATAAAAAAATAACGACATAAAAGATAATCTAAAAACACTAACGTGTAAAAGCGTACTTCTGTGCGTATATAAATTATTTTCCAAGATTACGCGCGCGTTAAAGCTGTGAACTTTTCATAAAGCGCTACTTTTTGAAAGCATATATAAAAAGTACAAATAAAGCACGGATTTTTCTTCTCTCGAATGAAGAAACAAATTCAAGACTTTTAATTGTAACTGGGTTGATTTTAATTTAGAATTTAGCTATATATATATATATATATATATATATATATATATATGTATGTTCACCCTTTTTACTCTGTTCTTAAATACATTCAATGTCGTACGATATCGATTATAGACACGGTTTTGTAGTTAGTGGAATCATTGTTCTAGTTAATCGATATTTTTTCCAACTATTCTTACGCTTTTATTCTATTTATATTCTTCATGATTAGCACATACAATTTTAAAACTCTATTTAAAACTATAAAAATTTTAAAACTTTATAAAAACTATTGATTGATTTTTTATATAAATATATATTTGTTCATGCTACACTATCCATTATCATTAGCTGTACGACGTTGAATTTTATTTGGTACTGTCAAAGCATTACAATTGCACTTTGTAAAATCCGTCTACGTTAAAGTCTTAAATTAAAAAAGTTCGAGAATGACTGTTAGTCTAACACTCGATAGATTCGTTTCCCTGTCGACTATTAATTACTCGAAACCTTTAGACAAAGACGGAAATTAAAGGACACGCGGTGTGAATTTAATTTTTCGGTAGTAATTTCTAGGTTTTTAGTTCCATATATTTTCGCTGTTTTGCTTTTTATTATTATTCTTTTTCTTTTACCTATTCTCTGAATGTATCTTCGCGGAAGAATACTGCGCTCTTATCGCGACAGGAAAATAAATTTCTTAAGGTGTACCAGGTGTACGGTCATAAACGCAAATGCACGAGATAACGAGGAACATTTTCAGTCAGAGGATTCAAATTTATAAAACCGCAAAAGTCAATGTGCAACACCAACCAAGCTTATTTGTCGGTGCAACGCTATCACGAAAATATAGATTTGTCTTTGTCTACTCGCGTTGAGAAGTTTGTGAAATACTTTTAATCATCGGGCTACTTCGCGAAGGAAAATGTGTTTTATCTTTCGCCAGGAAAAAAATTTTTTCTGCGTAAAAACTTTATCCCGCATAGATGTCCGCGATCGCTAACAAGAGAATTAGTTCAAGTCGATCATTAATTTTAATGAAACTTCTTCTCTGCTTTTATATTCAAAACAATTAATCACTGTATTTTCCAAAGTTACGATCCCTTTCACTCAACAAAATCTTAAAATGCAAATGCGTCTAAGAGAAGAGAAAGATATATATATATATATATATATATATGTTTTATTACAATTGTCTTAAGAATGGCAGATAGTAGTTAAGGATAAAGCCTGAAACGAATGATTTTTTTCCTTTAAAAGAATTCTTTCCATTTGGATGCGGAATTGAAGAACAAGCCTGGAGAGCCGACCAAGCGGATAATCCGATGTCATTTTCGTTCGAATAAAGATTATTCGCGCTTCTACCCCCTTCGCCGTTTGTGAGATTCGCGCATTTACATTTTGACAATCTATCGGAGTAAAAAAATTCCGTTATGAACTCTCTCGCAAGAACTCCGAACCTGGAGTCCCTCGTCGTCGCATCGCTAATATGGGCGCGAATACACACGAGGTAACGAGTAATTCCGCGAGTGGCGAATGAAAATTCATGAAAATATGAATAGTAAGGACGCGAGCGAGTGAGGATCGTGTGTAGTCAGACTGACGCGACGCAGGTCTCGGAAAAGAAAAGAAAAAAAAAACGAAAATCCGTGAAACGTTTCCCAGAGGAGATACCTGTCACGCGTGACAGCGCGCTATTTTCCAGAAACGAGAAAGAAAGAAAGAAAGAAATGCGCCGACACCGCGATCGGATCACAGCCTCCGTGTCGAATATCGGGGAAGAAATGATCCAAAAGGAATTTCTCTCAGTAACGTGCCCAGAGAGAGAACACAGACGATTGCTTTGGACATACGCCAGATGGATCCCTTCGCGCTTTTCCACTGTATAAACAATGAAAAGTGTACGCAAAAATTCGCGCATTCTCGTCAGTCATCTAGGATTCCGACGATGTAAATTCACGTATGTCATCTGCGCAATCTATATGTATGCACATACGTTCGACGAGATAAAATATTACCTCGGAGGGAGAGTTTGCCTCTTTCGAATCTCGCTTTTTAACAATTGACGATTGAAACGATAATCCGAGTCGAAGATGTTGAAAAGGAGAATTCGAGATAGCGAGGATGATTCGACACATTCGGTGTTCAATATATAATGCGTAGTCTTCGCCATTCTGACGTCTTTGCCGCGTACATATGTATACGCATTGTGTGTGCGAATGCGTGTATGCGCGTGATAAATTGATTGCTGTCAATTCTATGCGCTCTTATGGCAGAAGGAAAATGATAGGGTGGGTGGATGAGGGTGGAAAAATAACAGGCGCTAAAAACTGGCGAAGAAAAAAAATGAGGGTGTTATAGAAGCGGACAAGTGCCTTCGCCTCTGAATGGAAAAACAAAAGGATTGAAGGATCATTCGAGTAAATATTATTTTTATTATTGCCTTTAGCATTATTATTATTACCTTTTTTTCTTGTAAAGGAGCTCTCACCCGCTTTCTTTTTTTTCGCTCGGATTTATATACGTATATATTATGCTTTTTCAATTTTATTTCACATTTTACTTGTCTACGTACGAAGCTCTTTTGACAAATTATGAATGAAGAGGTAAAATTAAATACCGCAAAAACTACATAGATTTTGTTCGGGATATAGTCCATATTATTTTCCCGCACGTCTCTATACATTATAAATTATAAATTCTAATTTTGCTGAATATATATTACAACATATAGGTATGTATTATGCAAAAGCTAAAATAACAGGTAATCGATTATGGATAAATTTTCATTGTCGATTTCGATATTGCGTGTTGTGCTACTAAACAGGAAACGTTATTAATATATTTGCTACGTAATTTAATAATGACAATCGGGATGAAATCGATCATGTTACTTAGAACATTTTTGCAAAATAAATAATGGGATATATCGCGCGCTATAAAAGCCGAGAGCGACTGCTCTATTTATTTATCTTAAAAATAAACAGGCGCGCGTTCACGCTCGATATTTGAAATATTCGGCCAGAAAGAGCTGACTTATTGGGGGCTCCATATATGTGCAAATCGAACGTTTCGGAATGTTAAAGGTTAAAAGTGTACAACTTTTGCGAAGCGGAGTTGCAAACGTCCGTCCTACTTCCTTTATGTTTGCCGGACGTTGTATAATTAGGATTGGATAGAAAATTAGGGCAAGTTGGGCACTGGAAGCTCCTCGTTTTCGTACTGATTGACGATAGTGTCAAGGACAAAGTGATATGCAAAGCGATTAATGTCATCCAAAGGAAGGGGAGAAGGAGATGAAATTACTTGTACACTATAGCCGCCCGTATTTGTTCAAGTTTGTTTTGCGAGGGATGATAGCACCAGGGCGAACTTGCAGAACTCTCCCGTATGTGCTGCGAAATGTAATAATCTAATGACAAATGAACATCGGCGATATGGGACCATCATATCCGGAGTAATCGGTCGAACAAACTATAAGGACCTCCGGTGAAGACCAATATAAATATATTGCCTCATCAGTGAGATACTAATTCCGTTATAGGATCTCGTAAAAAAAAGTAATAAATCCATAGTGTTCTGTCGCTAATAATTCGGAACAATAAATGCATAAAAAAGGGGAATTAAGAATTAATAAAATTATATTATTACGGAATCGCTTAATCAATCGGATACAAATAGATACTGAAGGAAATTCGAGAAATTCACGTGCTCGATAATTACATAGAGTCAATAATTGTACAGATATTATCTTTCTACGCAATATAATATTACAAAATGCATAAACTCCAAAGTATTAGTTACCATTGCCG